TCTTTATATTAAAATATGGCTATTCAATATTCAATAAAAACAATGCAAATATCAAAGTAAAGAAATAAAGCAGGTTTAAAGTGAAAATAAACTCATATTAAACTCATATCCACACACATACAGTTCCTTACCTAAACAATCTTTTCCATTTGGATGTAAAGTATAATCAGAGTTACATTCACATTTATAACTACCAGGATAATTTGTACAAGTATGCTGACACCCACCGTTCGCTATAGAACATTCATCACGATCTGTTGAAATAAATTATACACAAATTGTGTTGTTGTTGTTTTTAATTTAATTATGAGACACAATTTTGTTTACATTTAACATATAATTATGCCACTTACCCCCACAATGCGTTATTCCGTATTCTTGGTAGCCTTTGTCACATAGGCACTGGAAGCTTCCTGGGGCGTTGATGCATGTGTGATCGCACGTACCATTAATCGAACATTCGTCAATGTCTGTGGACAATAATCATTCATGACTATCAGCTAAATTAACATGCACATTAATTAAGTATACGTGAATTCATAAATGCGAAAAATTATCAGATCTTGTGTTCCTGTCAGGTACGATGGAACTTTGATGTGTTTTTTGTGTTAAAACGTTTGTAAAATAAAAGTAATGATAACTTTAATACAATTACTAATGAACATAACGTAAATCTCGAAAACTCGACGATTATTACCTTCACATGTCATTCCATTTGGTAATAATTTATATCCACTCTGGCATCGACACTCATATCCACCAAAAGTATTTTTACAATCAACTTGACATCCGCCATTTTCTATTGCACATTCGTCGATATCTGTAGACAAGTATTAACATTCATTCAAAATATGTCATCGGTGGATGTCTCTAATGATTCTGACTCACTTCAATGACGTCAGAGGTCCTTATAAACATGTGAATCAACATTCTCGCGTATTAATTTAGTATTGATGACTTCGTTTAATTACTATTTTTGACCATGTACACGTGACATGTTTTTCTGACTTTTGCTTCGTCAATATTGCTTTTGTGTTTGTGGGTAACATTGTTATTGTATTTCTGTAAATCTATCACATTATGCAATTAATAACAACATACATCATAGATTAAGGTTCTATGCCTAAACTGTATCAAAGACGACTATGTTTCCCAAAAAGTTATATCATATGATTGTGAGCTGATGTCACAACAGAGCAGTGTTACATGTTGTATATACGTACAAGTATGTGAAATAATGTGAATGAAAGATTACGTATTGTCCTACCTTTGCATGTCCTCGCATCAGACTGTAATTTATATCCCTGTGGACAGCTACATTTGACGCCAGTATTTGTATCGACGCATACACGATCACACCCCCCATTATTGATGCCACACGTCTCTGGTAAAATAATCAATAACGCGATTGTATCAATTTCATTAAAACATAATTAATATGAAATATCCAAGTGTATTTTCTACACAGTTAATTTCACAATTATCATGTGAAATATCCGATAAGTATCCGATATTTAAAGGGTGTGTCAAATCCATTCCTGAATTTATTCATTGTTTTCCTTTAATTTGTTTGGACTTATCGTCGGTATGGGGTATATTTATTTCATCTGCACAAGTATCCAAGAACATAGACAAATTATTATGTTTAATTCATGAGTGAAGTAATTACTATACGTTCTGGGCATAGGAACAATTGTATTGTATGAGTTTTCTGTGTGCGGAGTAACCGGTACAATGAACAGGTCGACACATGCACGATGTTATATACTAATGTCCCGAGTGTATAGATAGAATTTGTTTGACTTCTACTGGCATATATGTCGGCAATTATTTTTGTATACAGTTTTAATTTTCTCACTAAAATTCCAATTTCATGTCTATTAACCCACTGCCAACCTTTATATGTTCAAAACGCCGTTATTTCCAAACATATGCTGCGTATGTTTGTACAGGGAGATAGTAGATCTGACACCAATTTATTCCTTTTGCAAAGGCTAAGTGCTATAATCACTTTCTGGCATGTTATTCGAGGGAAATAATGGGCGGTGAAACACCTAGTGAAACTCAATTTGTGAATATGTGAGTCATTAACCATATGTCGAAACGTGATCCTAAAACCAAACCACATTTCTATTCACTATCGAACCACGCTTTATGTAATTTATCAGTATCATGAACACGTGACAAAAGACCTTTCTAAGTATGCAGATAATTATTAATTATGTGATAATAATACGAAGTTACATTATTATGAAAGATCATACCAATACCATTGGACATATCTTCTTATTAAACTTGATTACACTTAAAATCTGACCTCAAATAAACACGTGTACTCGGGCAATGCATATCAACATCAACGCTTGGGTACTAAAACAACTCCTTTTTTTACAATGTGCAATTAAACACGTTAATTCAATACCATTACCCTACGTTCGAGAATCGGATGTCGACTTGCAATCCACGCACCATGTTCAGATATCTTCAAAAAGTATTGGAATTCACAACAGTTAATACATTACACTGAATACTAATATCGTTCACGATCATAATAAGTGGAGATATAAAAGAAGTAACCTAAATATTGACATATGACGATTATATTCGGGATAAATAATGGCACTATTAATATTATTTGATAAAAAATAATTTTATCAAGTTTTATTTTACAAGCTATGAGCACGTGCAGTGTGCATGCCGGTCTAGCTATACCATATTTAGTAGGTGTCCATTCATGCAACAACACGCATACAATCGGTAGAGATATTTACATCAACCACAAATAAATAAATAAATGAATGAGTACATACTACGGTATGTCTGACAGTGTTGAAAGCAACAAAGAGACACCCACCTTAGGCAGTGCAGTGGAACGTGCTAATATGAGAGAATTGAAGTCGGAAATACCTTTACCTATACAAGTGTTACCATCAATATGCAAGTTATATTTGCCTAAACAACTACAAATTGGTCCAATTGGTGAATCTGTACAGATGTGCTGACAACCACCATTACCATGGGCACATGTAGCTGTGACAAGGAAATGAAATTATTGTTAGTATTTCTATAACAATTTTACAAGCGTAAACAACAACAATGCATTGATTGTATAATGGTCTTCGTAATAAGCTGAATAATTCCAAAAGTATGCAAATTGAATGTGAGATCACCTTTTCTATATTTTAAACTAGAGAAATTTCAAAGAACGAGTTGTTTTTCTAAACAAAATCTATATTAATACACGTTTGGGAAAGTAGACACATTTATATAGTAGGTTACTGAAAGGCGCCCTCGTCGTTAAGGATCTGCACTGTGGCGTATTCACAATGACGAAAGCAGACGTTTCAGTAATTTGATACAGATCAGGTGATTATATTTTTTTTGATACGTTAAAAATATTTCTATTGTTTCGAGAAATTCGGTTTGCTGCTAGAGAGAACAACACTGCCATTTGTAAAGGAATGAATTACAGCAAGACTCAATAAGGAAATACAAAAACACGCCGCATAAATATGAAGTACTTGTATCACAAGTGAGCGAGCGAGGGATGTCATCGCGTACGGAATTCATCTAGTCAGTTGAAACCCCTTATTGATTCAGAGCAGTGGTGCATCAAGCGTTCTCTTGGTGAGTCGGAGTAAGGACTGACAACTAATACACTTGGCCCTGATTGCATCCTTTATAACTGTGAATTATCAGTAACACAAGATGAGTTATATTCTCATCCCTATGGTAACACAATCAAATCAAATATCCTGCAATCAGATTCAATTTTTATAATCAAAAATTTGGTGTTATTAAAACGTTCACAACTTTCCACTAGAAACCGTATTCAGAACAGATCCGTTACATGCATTCACTAGTGAACTGTCATCGGGTCAGTAAAACCATTTATTACACAGCCGTCATAGCAATGTCGTGTGAATGGACTGGATCATACATTGCACCACGACTTGAATTGAAATACGCACGTATCTAAACGGTTCGGGGAAAGGCGATTCGTCAGAACCATGTCGCTAATAGCAGTATAAATACTGTTACCACAACCATCAATCATTAATACACTAAACATTAACCATGAAGCTAATCTGAATAATGTTTATTGTAAGTTGATATGATGTCAATGAATGCATAAAATGTGCATAATGTGCAAACTCTCGAAATACCAAACGGGTGTACGATATACGTGTGATTTGTAGTAACCATCGTGGTGTGGGCCGTCATCTCCTTCCCAGTTTTCCAATCACATGAAGACAGTGGGACCACAAGCTCAAAATGATAAGGGCTAAGTTAAGGGACATAGCGTGGGGAATTTCACATCGAGATTATGGGAAGCTTTGAAAAAACGTAGTAAATGTGGAATGTATATATACATGAATGAGAAAGAGAGGAGAAATATATAACTTACATATACAGTCTTTTCTATTGCTAGATATTTTAAATCCAAATCTGCAGCCACATACTGACTCACCACCAGAAACATCAACGCAAAAATGGGCACATCCAACATTTGGATTTCGACATCCAGGGTCCACTAAGGGTGCAAAATCAAATAAACATTGAATCAATTGTTTTGGCCAACACTGCGATAAAGACTTCCTGTTTTCGACATTGTGAAATTCTTTTGTTTTTACGCAGAAAAATACTGTATTTTTACCAAGTAAAATCATATTTATTAAAGTTATTGTTCATACATGAGTTGTTTAACACACTACATAGTTTGTAATTACATTCAGCTTCTTTCAGTCATAAATAAAGACAAATAAAAGCAAAAAAAAATATGGAGAATATAGCAAATTATCTTTCTTGAATAATCTTGTTTTAGCTAAGATTGAGGAATTTTTAAAATTAATATTAGAATAAAATTATTAAGATTAATATAAGAAATATTCTGTTTTTAATGGAGGAAATCTCCTTTTGTTAACAAATTGGTTGACATCGTAGAACTTACATGAACATGTTTGTCCGTCTTCATTTAGAAAATATTTATCGGGGCACTGGCATATATAACTGCCGATGGCATTTATACAGTCATACTGACATCCATGTTCTCCTGTTTCACATTCATTTTTGTCTGAAAAAAGGGGTAACGATTTTGTGAACAACGCGGTGTAATATATCTAATAATGTATATAATACATCTCAAAAGTAATTACTGGTGTCCAGTGAAATGCTGATGCAATCACCGTCGAGTACACAAACCGGTAAATCGTAACTTTGAAAACGCCGCTATTACCTATACAATTTCTTTGATTGGGATGTAATTGGAAACCTAGTTTACATTCACACTGAAAACTACCATCTGTATTTGTACATGTGTGTACACAGCCACCATTATTCACTTCGCACTCATCCATGTCTGCAAACAAAATAGTCAAAGTTAACACCATGTTTCTACGAGACAAATTACAGGTTTAGGATTTGATTCCCAGGCTTCCCAGTACTTGTATATGGTAGTAATCAGTATAACCACGTGTAGCCCACAATTCGAAATGCTTTAACAGCTGTAGAAATATGTTTACTTATAAGCTCTATTGCAAATAACGAGGAGAATTGTATCATATGCCTTAAAATATTATAAAA